ATCCATCCCATGAAATCTCCTTATTGGCTGCATGTAGCACGGGGCGGGATATTATGGGTGGTGACGATATTTTAAATTCTATACTCTATCTCATGGACACCATTTGGCCATGTGGTCAGCTTCTTCCCTTTGCTGTGCAAAGGCTGCAGGCACCTTTCAACGGGAAACGGTGATTCAAATGCAGATCAGGTCTCTGTAGAACATGACACCCAGTCTCTCAGCAGAGTTGTCGTTTCTCTGCTAACAAAGGCCCACCATGTTCGTCTTGTCCCCACAATGCTTTGCTAGCTGTATGTGTGTGCGTGCCTCATTAACACAGAAAGCAGGCAAGTTTCTTCCTATGTGAAATCTCTGTCACACGGTAGGTGCTTCCAAACAGCTTTTCTCTGGCTGGTGGCATACAAGTGAGTGCACAGTTCATATGGTGCTTGTTGTAGCAGATATAAATTCATAAATAAGTCTGTTTCCCTAACAGTCTCAATGGTGCCTCTGGACTCGAATTCAGCTCTTCTACTGCAGACCAGCCTGAAACAGAATGAAACTAAGTTTCTCAAAATATTTGCGAAGATTCCAAGTAACCTGAAATTGGCCTCACGTCGTATCAAGAAAAAGTCTTCTGGAGATGATTTTGTAGTATGTAAAACACACAAGCAAGACTATTTTGGATAGGCAATTAAATAATAATTGTAGAAAAGAGCGAGAGTCCAGTAGCACCTTAAAGACTAACAAAATTTGTGGCAGGGTTATCGGCGTTCGTGAGTTACTGCTCACTTCTTTGGTGATTCATGAAAGCTCCTACCCTGCCACAAATTTTGTTAGTCTTTAAGGTGCTATTGGACTCTTTTTTTAAAAAATAACCACAAATCAGAATTAAGATTTCCAGGAAAAACATCAACAACCTCAGATATGCAGACGATACCACTCTAATGACAGAAAGGGAAGAGGACCTAAAGAGCCTCTTGCTTAAAGTGAAACAGGAGAGCGCAAAAGTTGGCTTGAAACTCAACATCAAAAAAACGAAGATCATGGCATCTGGCCCCATCACTCCTTGGCAAACAGAAGGGGAAGTTGTGGAAGCAGTGACAGACTTCACGTTCCTGGGATCCAAGATCACTGCAGACGCTGACTGCAGCCATGAAATTAAAAGATGCCTGCTCCTTGGGAGGAAAGCAATGGTGAACCTAAACAGCATGATGAAAAGTAGAGACCCTGCCAACAAAAGTCCGTATGGTCAAAGCAATGGTATTCCCAGTAGTAATGTATGGTTGTGAGAGTTGGACTATAAGGAAGGCCGAGTGCCGAAGAATAGATTCTTTTGAATTATGGTGCTGGAGAAGACTCTTGAGAGTCCCTTGGACTGCAAGAAGATCAAATCAGTCAATCCTAAAAGAAATCAACCCTGACTGTTCCCTGGAGGACCAGATACTGAAGCTGAAGCTCAAATACTTTGGCCACCAAATGAGAAGGGAGCACTCACTGGAGAAGAAGACCCTGATGCTGGGAAAGATTGAAGGTAAAAGAAGAAGGGGACGGCAAAGGATGAGATGGTTAGACAGTGTTATAAGTGCAACGAACATGAAATTGAGCAAACTCCGGAGCATGACGGAAGACAGGATGGCCTGCCATGATGTTGTCCATGAGTTCGTGAAGAGTCGTACTCGACAGTGCAACTGAATAACTACAAAAAGTTTTCAATAATTATTTTACAAGTTTAACATAGTGTTACAGACATATTTGCATTATGCTTACACATAACATTTTATGAAATAACAATGAACAGTTATACAATGAAGCATGGACGGCTTCAAAAGGAAATTAGATAAGCCTATGGAGCAGAGGTCCATCAGTGGCTATTAGCCACAAGGTATAGATAGGGACTCTGGGGCAAGTGATGCTCTGTCATCTTGGTACTTGGGGGGGGGGGCAGTCAACAGTGGGAGGGCTTCTAATGTCCTGGCCCCACTGGTGGACCTCCTGATGGCACTGGTATTTCTGGCCACTGTGTGATACAGAGTGTTGGACTGGATGGGCCTTTGGCCTGATCCAACATTGGCATCTCTTATGTTCTTATGTTCTTATACCTAACTTAGACTAAACATCATTGTGAGTTACCAAAGCTGCATCTCATCTATTATAGCAGGAATTTCTTTTTGAGAGACAAGTACTCTAATATTGGGAACCATACCGAAATAAAATCATTATGATCTGTAGCTGATTCTATTGGTCCTAAAACATCTCTGTGAATCTTGCCATAATGTATGTATTCCAAAGTTTATTATGCCATAGATCTATTGTGGGATTTCAATCAGATTTCCATTTGGTGGCGACAGCTGTTTTGGTGGCAAATAATAATATTTCTATTGTTTTGTTTGTTGTATAAAGGATTTTAGCATCTAATCTGAGGTCTAAAAGGAGTGCTTCTGGTTTTATAGGAATTATGTATCCAGTAATATTTTGTACACGTCTCATTACCAGAATGTCTTAATTTTAGGGCAATTAATCCAGCAATATAAATATGAGCCAATGTTTTTTACATGTTTCTCAACAATAGGGTTGTATAAGTTTAGAGGCATGGGATAATTGTGATGGAGTACATTACCAATGCAACATAATTTTAAAAGTCTGCAGTTTAATTGCTGTTATAGGAGACTTCTTTTCATAGCTATTCCAAATCATATGCCAAGTCTTTGTGGTAAGTGTTTTTCCGCATTCTTCTTGCCATTTCAGTTGATATGTTCACAATTTTTTTTCTCTCGTTTAGGCTTTCTATAATTTGATATATTTTAAAAATAACAACTTTTTAATTCTTACTAGCAGATTGTAAGGTGCTACTGGACTCTTGCTCTTTTCTGTTGCTACAGACAGACTAACACGGCTACCCATCTTGAAATAACAACTGGTTGGACAATATAAGTTGATTTCATAACAATCAAATATGCCTTCACGTCATTCATCACCTAAACATATAAATGTTGTATCATTATATTTTTAAAAATCACATAATTTCATATTCTCTAAGCATACAATGCTTGTAAGCCTACAGGACTGGTAGCGCGGTATATTCAAAACACAGCATCTCTACACTGTTGTTGTTGTTCAGTCGCATAGTCGTGTCCGACTCTTCGCGACCCCAAGGACCAGATCACGCCAGGCCTTCCTGTCTTCCACCGTCCTCTGAAGTTGGCTCAATTCCATGTTCGTTGCATCTATGACACTGTCTAACCATCTCATCCTTTGCCGTCCCCGTCTTCTTTGACCTTCAATCTTTCCCAGCATCAGGGTCTTCTTCTCCAGTGAGTGCTCCCTTCTCATTTGGTGGCCAAAGTATTTGAGCTTCAGTTTCATTATCTGGCCTTCCAGGGAACAGTCAGGGTTGATTTCTTTTAGGATTGACTGATTTGATCTTCTTGCAGTCCGAGGGACTCTCAAGAGTCTTCTCCAGCACCATAGTTCAAAAGAATCTATTCTTCGGCGCTCGGCCTTCCTTACAGTCCAACTCTCGCAGCCATACATGACTACTGGGAATACCATTGCTTTGACCATGCGGACTTTTGTTTGCAGGGTGATGTCTCTACTTTTTATCATGCTGTTTAGGTTCACCAGTGCTTTCCTCCCAAGGAGCAGGCATCTTTTAATTTCATGGCTGCTGTCACAGTCTGCGGTGACCTGGGATCCCAGGAACGTGAAGTCTATCACTACTTCCACGACTTCCCCTTCTATTTGCTAAGGAGTGATGGGGCCAGATGCCATGATCTTAGTTTTTTTGATGTTGAGCTTCAAGCCCACTTTTGCGCTCTCCTCTTTTACCCTGAGCAAGAGGCTCTTTAGGTCCTCTTCCCTTTCTGCCATTAGAGTGGTATCGTCTGCATACCTGAGGTTGTTGATCTTTTCCCCAGCAGTCTTAATTCCCGCTTGTGATTCATCCAGGCCAGTATTTCGCATGATGTACTCTGCATATATATTATGAGTGCAATTGTGCGATTGTTTTTTTAAAAATATTTTTATTAGTTTTTTCTCAAAAGTAACATTCAGTAGTATTCAACTTACAGAACAGCATAAACAGCATACAAAGTTTGCAAACCAATATAGTACTAGTAGTTTTACTTTGTTGTCAACAAGCTCAAAGTAGTACCTGTAACCCTTGTGTTTATATAACTATAAAAATGAGCTGAAGCAAAGAAGTTATAGCTTGTGTCCCCTTAATTTATATCAAAACAATTTCACAACTAGGCATTGAAGTATGGTCAAAAAGGTAAAGTTTAGTAGTCTAGTAATTTTAAGTATAAAGAGTTTTGCGGTTGAGAATCCGAAGCTGAGATATATTCCATGAATGGAGTCCATTTCTCTGTAAAATTGGATGTTTTAGGTCTGATTGAAGTAAACGGTCAGTGATTTTTTCTAATATAAGGTGATCCCAAACTTTGTTTAGCCAGTTGGTTCGTGTGATATGAGTGCAATTGTGCAATAGTTTGAACATTCCTTGGCATTGCCTTTCTTTGGGATTGGAATGTATACTGACCTTTTCCAATCCTGTGGCTACTGTTGTGTTTTCCAAATTTGCTGTCAAATTGAGTGCAGCACTTTAACAGCAGCATCTTTTAAGACTTTGAATAGCTCAGCTGGAATACCATCACCTCCACTAGCTTTGTTGTTAGTAATGCTACACTGTACTAGCATATTAATAGACAAATTGTGTCATGATCTCAGGATACATTTACTAGTTCTTTCTCCTCTACTGCTTGCTAATTTTTGCAAGTGATTTTGCTGATTTTGGAACCTTGCTCTTGGAAGTGAGTGAATTTAAATTCTGTGAAAGGTCTAGCACAGCTCTGTGATTGTGGTAGGAATGTTATTGGCCAATGCGATGCCACCTGGATATGTGACGTATACTTTCCCAGAAGACTGGCTTTCATGTGAACCTCTCCGTGTGGTAAATGAGACACAAAGTTGGTAAGTAATGGATCTCTGAATACACCTTAATGGATCTAGACATAGGCAGACTAAAATTCGCACATTATTAACCGGCTCAAACCACATGGAACATCATTCCAGTTGCCATCCGGGTATATTTCTATGCAGTCCTCATGGACTCCATTCGGTTCATTCGGGGCCCATTTTGAGTATGCCATTTGATCGCCGTTTAAATGCTTGAAGACGCCTTCCGTTTCCTGGTCATTCATTCCAAGAAACGCGTTTTTCCCAAACTTGGCGGCCAGACTCTGCACAGCCTTGTTCTCCTTGTCGTCCCTGGGTGAAGCAATTTGCAGGCCGAAATGGGAACACGTGGTTTTTGAAAGCTGATAATTCCCTTCAGCTCCACTGGTTACAAATTTTTTCTCTCTTGCTGCTGTGCTGTTTGGAAACATTTGGCCTAGAAAGACTGGCAAAGAATACAAACCAAAATTAATTCTTCCATACACATTTTTATCATAACATAAGAACATAAGAAATGCCAATGTTGGATCAGGCCAAAGGCCCATCCAGTCCAACACTCTGTATCACACAGTGGCCAGAAATACCAGTGCCATCAGGAGGTCCACCAGTGGGGCCAGGACATTAGAAGCCCTCCCACTGTTGACCCCCCCAAGCACCAAGATGACAGAGCATCACTTGCCCCAGAGTCCCTATCTATACCTTGTGGCTAACAGCCCAATTTATCTGAAATTGTTCTGCACATTTTGCTACACATATGAGGGGTTTAATCAGGGGCATAGCCAGAAAATTTGGGTGGTGGGGATTCAGGAAATATGGGAGGGAGCAGGATGGGGGCAGGGGAGAGAGAAGTCCTCCCCCCGCACCTCTTTGACTATTGGAGAGGCGTGGGCTCTCTGGGTTTTCTTTCTGCTTCTGCAGTCGGAAAAGCAGGAAGAAGAAATGCCCTACTGTAGCTACAAGTAGGGGTCATTTCCTGCAGGAGCGCATAGGAGCAGAGCTCCGGCAGTAAAGAGCCCAGGGGGCGGGCACATGCAACAAGCCCCACCCCCTGCTCCCTGGTCCAAAACAGTCCAGTGGCACCTTTAAGACCATACGGGGGTGGGTATCACAACGGCGCCCCCCCCCCCCAGCTAGCAATCCAAAACAGTCCAGTGGCATCTTTAAGACCAAGTTTGATTCAGGTACCAGCTCTCCCTCCTCTGCGAGGACAGACCTGCACGTCCCCCCCCCCAATAGCTAGCAATCCAAAACAGTCCAGTGGAGCCTGAGCAGCCGGTGTTGCCTTCTGACACACTTCCGGTGATGTTAGGGGTGTGTGGCATATGCAAATAAGTTATGCTAATGAGTTATGCTAATGAGCTCCTGCACCTCTTTTTCTATGGAATGACCCCTGGCTACAAGCCTGGGTTTAATAATGAGAACATTGTATGTCATCAGGGAACGTGATTCACAGATGCCTATACAGCCTTCTGCCTTACCTGTTGAGGTTTTACTTGCGGTCAACTGCAAATCCTTCATCTGTTCTTGTAAATGACTGATTTGAGTTTTAAGAAGTTCAAGTTCTAAAAGGAAAAAAATATATATTGTATTTATGTATTTTTTTTTCTTCCTTCACCTATCCTGAAGAATCAATCCTTGGAGACTCATTCCCCATGGCTGCATTTCTCTGGAAGGTTGACTTCAACACTGGCTTTCCATTGGCTTGCCAGGAAGCCTCTGAGGAGCTGAAGATTTCCCACTCCCAGCTCCCATTGCCTGCCACTAGAAAAATAAAGTAAACAATCACTGTCAGCACGACGGCATTACATCACTTCTGGAGAAACCCTGGAAATGACCTCATGCCTCACTAGGAATTGCTGACAACTCTGTGGTAAAACCTGAACTAGGCAGGACAAAAAGCACAAGGTCTCCAAGGACACTGAAGGATAACCAGAACGACTGATATTATGAAGGCCGTGCCCTGGGTGTGATAACTAGGCTTGCCAAGTCCCCCCAGGGGGTGGGGAAAACCCCACCCCAGAGGCCTGTTCCCCGCTGCTGGCAGATCGGGCCCCGGGGGGAACCCCACCCCGATGTGCACGTCACCCGGAAGTGACGCGACCACGCCAGGCACACTGGGGGTGGGACCACGGTCATCCGAGGGAAAACTCTATGGTTTTCCCTCGGATGGTCATGGCCCCGCCCCCAGCGTGCCCGGCGTGTACGCGCGCACTCCAGCCACCAGTCCCCCACTGCGGCTAAGAACATAAGAACATAAGAGGAAAACTCTATGGTTTTCCCTCGGATGGTCATGGCCCCGCCCCCAGCGTGCCCGGCGTGTACGCGCGCACTCCAGCCACCAGTCCCCCACTGCGGCTAAGAACATAAGAACATAAGAACATAAGAGACGCCAATGTTGGATCAGGCCAAAAGCCCATCCAGTCCAACACTCTGTGTCACACAGTGGCCAGAAATACCAGTGCCATCAGGAGGTCCAGCAGTGGGGCCAGGACATTAGAAGCCCTCCCACTGTTGACCCCCCCCCCCAAGCACCAAGAAGACAGAGCATCACTTGCCCCAGAGCCCCTAGCTATACCTTGTGGCTAATAGCCACTGATGGACCTCTGCTCCATATGCTTATCTAATTCCCTTTTGAAGCCGTCCATGCTTGTAGCACCCACCACTTCCTGTGGCAGTGAATTCCATGTGTTAATCACTCTTTGGGTGAAGAAGTACTTCCTTTTATCCGTTCTAACCCGACCGCTCTGCAGTTTCATGGAGTGCCCACGAGTTCTTGTATTGTGAGAAAGGGAGAAAAGTACCTCTTTCTTTACCTGCTCTTTCCCATGCATAATCTTATAAACCTCGATCATGTCACCCCTCAGTCGTCTTTTCTCCAAGCTAAAGAGCCCTAAGCGCTTTAACCTTTCCTCATAGGGAAAGTGTTCCAACCCTTTTATCATTCGAGTTGCCCTTTTCTGCACTTTTTCCAAAGCTATAATATCCTTTTTAAGGTGTGGTGCCCAGAACTGCACACAGTATTCCAAATGAGGTCTCACCATTGATTTATATAGGGGCATTATTATATTGGCTGATCTGTTTTCAATACCCTTCCTAATAATCCCCAGCATAGCATTGGCCTTCTTTATTGCAGTCACACACTGTCTCGACATTTTCAGTGAGTTATCCACTACAACTCCAAGATCTCTCTCTTGCTCAGTCTCTGCCAGTTCAGACCCCATCAATGTGTATTTATATTTAGGATTTTTGGCTCCAATGTGCATCACCTTGCACTTGGCCACATTGAACCCCATTTGCCATGTTGACGCCCACTCGCCCATCCTTGACAGATCCCCTTGGAGTGCCTCACAATCCTCACTGGTTTTCACCACCCTGAACAACTTTGTATCATCCGCAAATTTAGCCACTTCACTGCTTACTCCCATCTCCAAATCATTAATGAACAAGTTAAAAAGCAGTGGACCAAGTACTGATCCCTGCGGTACCCCACTGCTTACCACCCTCCACTGAGAAAATTGCCCACCTACACTCACTCTCTGTTTTCTATGAACTAGCCAGTTTTTGATCCATAAAAGGACTTGTCCTTCTATCCCATGATTTTTGAGCTTACTTAGGAGCCTTTGATGAGGAACTTTATCAAAAGCTTTCTGGAAGTCAAGGTAAATAATATCTATTGGATCCCCCTTGTCCACATGTTTGTTCACCCCCTCAAAGAACACTAACAGGTTAGTGAGACAAGATCTTCCCTTACAGAAACCGTGCTGAGTCTGCCTCAATAGGTTTTGTTCATCTATGTGCCTACTAATTCTTTCCTTAATAATGGTTTCCACCAATTTACCCGGTATCGACGTCAGACTGACTGGCCTGTAATTTCCCGGATCTCCTCTGGAACCCTTTTTAAAGATGGGAGTGACATTAGCTACCTTCCAATCCTCAGGAATGGAGGCAGATTTTAAGGAAAGATTACATATCTTTGTCAGGAGATCTACAAGTTCACATTTGAGTTCTTTCAGAACTCTCGGATGTATGCCATCTGGGCCTGGTGATTTTTCAGTTTTTAAGTTGTCTATCAGTTTTAGGACCTCCTCTCTCGTCACCTCAATCTGACTCAGGTCTTTCAACACCCCTCCTGAAATCAGTGGTTCTGGAGTGGGCAAGCACTTCTCATCTTCCACAGTGAAGACGGAGGCAAAAAATGCATTTAGCTTCTCAGCCATTTCCCTATCATCCTTCAATACTCCTTTTACCCCTTGGTCGTCCAAGGGCCCCACTGCCTCCCTGGCTGGTTTCCTGTTTCTAATGTATTTGAAGAAAGTTTTATTGTTGGTTTTTACGTTTTTTGCTATATGCTCCTCATATTCCCTTTTTGCCTGCCTGACCTCAGACTTGCATTTTATTTGCCATAGCCTGTGTTCCGTTTTATCAGCCTCACTGTGACTAGCTTTCCACTGCTTAAAGGAATTCTTTTTACTTTTTACAGCCTCCATTACTCTGTTTGTTAACCATGCAGGCTTTTTCCTATACCTGTTTGTGCCTTTCCTAACCTGCGGAATATATATTTTTTGAGCTTCTAGGATCGTAGTTTTAAATAGATCCCAAGCTTCCCCAATTGTTTTGACCCTTTCTACTTTTCCTTTCAGTTTCCTCCCCACGTGTCCCCTCATATCAGAGAAATTACCCCTTTTAAAGTTAAAAATGGTTGTGTGAGTCTTTTTGGCCAATTCTCTATTTGTACAAATGATGAACTCAACAACATTATGATCACTGTTTCCAAGCGGTGCAATCACTTTTACATCTCTCACCAGGTCTTGAGTGTTACTTAGGACCAAATCAAGGATCGCCTCTCCCCTGGTAGGTTCCGTGACCATCTGCTCCATAGCACAGTCATTTAGAGTGTCTAGAAACTCAATCTCTTTTTCCCGGCTAGAACACATATTGACCCAATCAATGTGTGGGTAGTTAAAATCACCTATTATTACACAGTGTTTTTGTCTAGTTGCTATCTTTAAGGCATTCATCATTTTATAATCCTCCTCTATCTTTTGATCTGGTGGGCGATAACAAACTCCCAGTGTTAAGTTTCCTTTTGGCCCCCCTATTTCAACCCATAGAACTTCCAGAAGCGAATCCAATTCACTTAGCCTCTCAATCTTTCTAGACTTTATACCCTCTCTGACATACAGAGCTACCCCACCTCCAACCCTTCCCCCCCTATCCTTCCGATATAATATATAACCGGGAATCACTGTGTCCCACTGATTTTCCTCATCCCACCAAGTTTCAGAAATACCCACAATGTCTATTTTTCCCTCCGACACCAAGCACTCCAACTCCCCGATTTTACCTCGGACACTTCTAGCATTTGTATAGAAACAGCTGTAATTTCCCTTACAAGTTAAGCCTGCATCCTTCCTCTTGCTATCTCGAGTCGTTGTCCGGCAGTCCATGTCACCAGCCATGGCCTCTGTGGACAATTTCAATCCACCTCCCTGTAGAAAAGCAACCGGTACCCCCTCACCTCTCTCAGATGAGCCAACCCGAACCAGAGACTTTTCATCTCCTGTCGGCTTTCCCCCAATATTCAGTTTAAAAGCTGCTCTGCCACCTTTTTGATTTTAAGTGCCAGCAGCCTGGTTCCTTCTCGGGACAAGTGGAGACCGTCTCGCCTGTACAGCTCCCTCTTGTTCCAAAAAGTATCCCAGTGCCTAACAAACCTGAACCCTTCCCCCCTACACCATCGTCTCATCCACGCATTGAGACTCCTGATCTCTGCCTGTCTCTCCGGCCCTGCGCGTGGAACAGGTAACACTTCTGAGAAGGCTACCTTGGAGGTCCTGGACCTAAGTTTCCTGCCCAGCAGCCTAAATTTCTCCTCCAGGACCTCACGACTGCATTTCCCCACATCGTTGGTGCCGACATGCACCACGACCACTGGCTCCTCCCCAGCACTATCTACCAGCCTATCTAAAACACGCGTAATGTCCGCTACCTTCGCACCAGGCAGGCAAGTCACCATACGGTCAGTACGCGGGTTCGCCACCCAGCTGTCTACCTGCCTAAGGATCGAATCACCCACTACCAAGAGCCCCCCTCCCACCCTGCTCAGGGATGGTTCCTTGGTGCAAAAGGAGAGCCGCTCACCAGCTGGGGAAGAGGTCCCTTCTGAGGGCACATTCCCCTTATCCTCAGCACGGTGCCCTGTTTCCCCTAGACCCTCATGCTCCCTGACAGCAGCGGGGCTGCCAGATCCAGAGTGGGACGTAGCTAACAAGTCCCCGAGAGTCTTTTCTGTGCGCCTAGCTGACTGTCTCTGCTTCTCCAGGTCAGCCACCTTGGCCTCAAGGGAGCACACACGTTCCCTGAGAACCAGGAGCTCCTTGCACCGAGGGCACACCCAAGACTTCTGCCCAGTGGGCAGATAGTCATACATGTGACACTCCGTGCAAAACACTGGATAGCCCCCAACCCCCTGCTGGCATTCTGGCTTCATAATTCTTTTAAAATAAATAAATATAATCCCCCTTTTAAACCCTTGGTATTTATGTGGTTTTTGTTATCAAAG